CATCAGTACTATATTTTGTATGCATATTTAGTGGATATAAACACAGAAGAGAATTTATTCCATTACATAATTATACAAATATATGAATTTTTTTTTTTCTTTTTGATATTTAAGCAAAGTAGTGAAGAAATTATTCAACTATGGAGAAAATGTATTATTATTTTAGCAATTTCTGTCTTAAAAAAAGTGTATTCTTTGAATCCCTCAAAATGACATATGGAATATTTTTGGTGTAAAATTTCCCAAAACAAAGTTCTTGGAATCTAATAGAATTTTAACGCCTTCCACAAATCTTCCTTATTCCAAAACACTTTTTTTTTTCATAAAAACAGACAGCTGTAGTACTAAAAAACACCGTCTTATTGACATCAAAGAATGCTACTAAAATTGACTACCGGATGTAAAAAACTTCACTGTTCAGTCTAATACTGCAGACAGTTTTGCAAATAAGTCATAAACAAAACCAAATTTCATACAACAAATAATTAGATGTATAGCTGTTTGACTAATATTTTAAAACATACAGTTAGGATATTATAAAAGTTTGCAGAAAAAACAAGAGTTGTTGATCAGCCAAATCATACGATGATTAATAAAAGCTGAACCGTTTTGCGTTAATGTTGTTGATGCAGTTTCATATTTATTATTTAGCATCGTTTATTTTAAACCAAAATGTAACTAAACAAAAAGTAGAAACCATCTGAAAAAGAAAAAAAAACCTTGACAGCTTATATTCGACTTCTAATAAATTACTAGATTACAACAAAGCCATTATTCTTCCAAATTTATTCCATAAAGTTAAAAGTCAAAGACTAGGTAGTTTGTACAGTAGAATATATTTTTACTTTTACTATAGCTGACCACCAAACCCAAGTGATAAAAGCTGCACGATGCAACCAGACAAGCCTCCTTCCAGTGGAGACAGAGATTATTGGTATATGAACAAAATACAAATCTGTTCACAGAACTTATAGATTTCAACTATTTACGACGTAGATAATCTAATAAACATTTCGATAGCAGTAAAATGCATATGTTTTAAATGCCCTTTGTTGGCAAACACAAAAAAAGGTGGGCCACTGCTCGGAGTGTGCTAATATGTCGATTAATTCAGATCAATATATCTAGGAAAAAGTAGAGGAAAACCTGCCAAAATAGTGTTTAACTGTTAACATCAAAAATTTACAGACGGTACCGTTACCTGCGAACAATAATACATTTGTAGCAGTAAAGCGAAGTTTGGTTTAAAAATGACCATTTTTTTTTCTTGAACATCCTATTCCTGTTTGACAATGATTGAAAAAAAAATCTTATTTAACTATCAGTTTTGGCACTGTATGGTAGTAATACTACAATCAGAAACCTTCATTACGGTCGTTCTATTCATTTTTTGCAACTTTTTTCGCTTATAATAACTGATCTTTTGTTGACCAACAACCGCTAATTATTTGATGCAATAGTCGTTTAAAAAAACCTGATGCAAAAAAAATAATGCCAAGAAAAAAAAAGAGAATATTTTATTGTTTTACAAACTTTTTTTCTAAACAGTTAAGCCATTCTGAAGACAAAAAAAATTTCGTTAATTGGTATCCGTAATCGTAATTGGTGAGTAGTATTGCAAATTGCCGTTACTCTGAGCCAACTTCAACTAGCATGGCAAAAATAATATCAGAAGTGCTCTAAGAAATTCCAAAGCAAAATTTTATTACTGTTTAGTCGTCGTTATAACCAAGTAATTTACTGTAAAGAGAAAGTAATAAACCAAATTCAAATGACTGCCTGATCAAATTTCTAATATTTTTTAAATAAAACTTTCACCAATTTCAATACTTCTGTTTTTGCATTTCGATCGTCCGTAACTTATTCTTTCAACAAAATTTTACGCTTACTTTTCCACTTCTTTCCGTCTCACTCCTTCACACGCCTATTTTGACAGTCCAACCAAAAAAGCTTGTGATCTGCTTCAATAAAAAAATTTGGTGGTTGTTGACAGTAGTGCTCATTTGTTTTGCAGAATATAAACTTAAAGAATAAAAAAAGAAAAATTGCAGTGATAACTTTCTAATGTCACTGTTTATCATCTGTGCGGAAACGTGGTTGAAGACAATGAAGAAAAATTGTTGTCGAATTTGCAGGATAGCAGTAATTTCAATGAAACTTTACTGTTCTTACAAAACCTGGTCTTTACTAGTTCCGGAACCGCTTTTCGTCGTCTACCGCGACACCATTTCTAGCTATTCGAACCAATGCTTCCAGCTTATTCAGCAGTAACAATTAACTAACTTGCAACCAACAATTTATGAGTAGAACGAAAAAGCAGCTAGACGACGGTGGAACAAAAGAAAAAACAATCTTGAAACTTTCTACAATTCAAAGTCACCTTTCTCCTACCGTAACAACTTGCACTGCAGAAAATAGCAGCAAATATAACTCACTGTAACCGTTCAACTATATAAGACTGTGCAAAAGTTGCCCACTGTACAGAAGTTATTATAAATTAAAGAAGCGTAAACAACAAAAGAGAAATTACAAGAAAGAATAAAAATATTATTTAAACATAACATCTCAACAAGACAAACAACTTTTGTCAACAAAATCCTAATCTCCCAAGCCGGCTTTTTCCAGAGCTTCCTGAAACTAGCCGAACACACACTCTTTGTGCTTAACCCAGCTATTTCTTCCTTTTAAACAGTAATCGTAGGTGAACCACTGTACCCAAACCATATTAGTTTTCCAAGTCAATATTATACAAACGGATACATGATGGCCACCATAAAAAGATAACTTTGCTTCATATATATATATAATTTACTTACATGTGCGCATAAAATAAAATTGGATACACGCTTCTCTCAAAACAATAAAAAGTTATAAATTTTTGAGGAGTTCAAGTAGCTCAAAACAGCCTGAGAAAACTTGTCTTGAGAAATTAAATGTAAACACTAAACTAAATCTCACTTTACTTTCTCTTACTGTTGTCAGCTTAAACACAGAATCGAAATTTATTTGCGTTAAATTCCAACCTTTTTTTGTGACTTTGCAAACAATGGGAATAAGATGAAAAACAAGGAGCATAAACTTCACATCAATGCTCATTTCTTCTTTCGCTCTTTTATCAGTCTTGTTTCTAGCTTCTCCTTGAAACCAGAACATTAGAAATATATCAGAAGAAACATACACGTACAAAAAATAAACGACAATAGGTTGCAATAAGGTGAAAACGTTGGAATTAATAATAAAAAAAATAAAAGGCACCAAAAAAAAGTATCAAGCAAAAGATAATCCGACTAAATGGATCGAAACAAGAATACAATCTGATCATAAATAAGCTTGTTAATGAATTATGTAGAGAATACAATGCTTTTAGCTCCACACTAAAACTGCTGTGCCAAATAGCCTGTACTACATTCATTGATAACTATAACAGACGAATCCCCTTGGAATATTTCAGCACCCAATTGTAAAACTAAAAGTTATATATATATATTTTTTGTACAATACACAGCCAGGAGACAAGTACAAAGTAACAATCCATAAGCCAAAACAATTCATGCATAAAACAACAGCAAAACTCTGCTTATCATGGCTTGTCAGCCACATCTAATGAAAAAATAACAGCAAATTTTCTTATACAAGAAAATAATAGAAGAAAATAGATATGTGTAGTAGACAAACCGTATTAAGGTTCAATAGGTATAATTCTGAGATAATATCGTCATTTAATCGTCCTTTTTGTCAGATACACTGACAAACGCAGCATCACCAACGTGCTCGTGATCACTTCCTCTTCGTTCCTCATCGTCTTCTTCTGATTCCTGATCGTCCTCCTCTAATTCTGGATCGCTACAGCTATCACTCTCTTCACTGTCAAACTTTTTTCTCGCTAATTTTGTCTCCAAATCTTCCAGGCTCAAGAGCTATAAAACAAACATTGAACAAACTCCAATAAATATCAAAACTATAAGCAAAATTCAAACCAGATGTTAGAATATCAGTAAGAATACAATAACTAAAGTATACGACTGATAGAAATAAAAATTCATACTCACTTCATTAACAAGGAAATCAGCCTGATGATCTAGCGGAAATACTACATGGATCTTATCTTTTTCGAAAAATTCCATAGAAAATCGAACGTGTAGATGGTTTTTCTGAAAAAAAAAAAAAACAAATAATTATAAATTCCATCTACCTTGCAAATAATGTCCACAAATTTAATATCGCTGTACTGACACACACTACACATATATTGAATTTCCTAATAAAAATTTTATGCCCATCTGATCAGCAAGAAAAGAAGTTTTTTTAATGAACAATATAGCTTTAAGTATAACTGCCATACGCTCATATCTAGCTTCCTTTCCCTCTATTTATACTGGAAAGATGAGGTAAATAAATTGAAAAATTTCTCATCCTAAACTGTTTCAGTAATAGTGAAAAATTTTAAAAAAAGCCAATGAGAAAAAAAAGTAAATCATAATAGCTAAACTGAGAAAGTAAAAATGACTGCCTGAAACACACAGCACTTAAGAAACCTAATAAATAAAATTGCATATACCATTTTTCACATAAAAAATTCACCTTATAAAGGACTAATTAATATATGATATCGTACCGTTTAAATAAATATAGTTAATCAACAAAATTATACGATGAGCTGACCAAAAAGTGCATCATTACCAACAAATCTTGACCGGTCTGAACAGTTGAGAGCGACTCCGAATACAAAAAATCCTTTCAACACTAACTAACCGTCAACAGTCCAAGAACTAGCTTAGGAATAAGAAGAATTTTATTTCGCTCAGATTGCAAAGTTATTTAACTTGGCAAACGTAAAGGACAACGTACCTGAATGAAAAGGTTGATCTTTGAGTAGGTGAACTTAGCCAGTGCAACAAATGAGAAGAACCCATCATTCCTAATTTGTAAAAGTCAGATTAGGAAATTAGACAAGGAAATAATGCGGAATTAAAGAAGTAAATATACATCCTGTCTGAGTTCTTTTTTTCCTTTTGTTTCATTAATGTATATTTGAAAAAACTCTCATCAAGCATAATCAAAACACTGCTTCTGCAGCAACTTTTAACATGGCAATACTGATAAACTGCTTGAGAACCACTTACTTTTGAGTGGCAACAACGGCTGCTTCGACTGCTGGCAAAACCAACTTTTCATACCCAGCCATTTTCAATTTTTCGGCGTAGCTTTCATCATACAAGTCTTTACCGTCAACTGAAAAAAACATACTTCACCCTAATGAATGTGATCGGCCATAATGAACAATGATAAATCAGCGAACAGAAATGCCCACTTCTAGAATACAGAGTCCTTTGTTTTCAAAAAAACGTGGCATAGCGTAATATATCTAAGTGAAGGTGAACTACAACCTACCTCCAAAAACTACACCTGTGACAGACTGCAACAAATTTTCTTTAATATCCTAAAAAACAAAAATAATTAAACAATGAAACTAAGATGTAAATTAGTCATCCACAATACCCAGTTAAAATGAATCCAATCTTTCACTTACTTAGAACAATAATGATTTAGTAACTATCTTTTCTTAGAGATGAGCAGAAAAAAAAAAACAAATAGCAGACCAAAAACCCACATTTGGATTATCATAGTAGATGCCAAAGACGTTTACATCTGCGGGCATTAACTGTTTAGCACTTTCCATAAATTTACCAACATTCTTGTATGCACCAATATGGTGCTTGTAATAAACGATAAGCGGCTTATTGACAAACGGAGGATTATCAGATACTCTTACCTAAAATTCTGAATATTGATGCAACAAAATCAGATACATCAAACAACTGCAGCTATCAATTAATTTGAATGATAAATGAACTAAAAAAATTTGAACTTTGAAAAAGTACAGATATTCTATAACTGTTGTTCAACAAAGAATGGAGTTAAACTAAGCTAAATCAATGATTACCTCAATGTTATCAAAAATTCCGGACTTATATAGTTTCCATACCAAATAAACAAGTACAAGAAGCGGGATCACAAAAACGCAGATACAGTCAAACATGATTCTGATGGCCACCTGAATTGAATTGCAACAATCATTTTGTGCAAACTGTTACTTTACCGTCGCGCTTTATCAACGTATTATCGTCATTCAACATTCACAACAAAAGGTTTAGAAAAAAAAAACCCAGTGTAAAAGAAAATAATAAATAACCAAATGAATAGATTCAAATAGAACATGTATTTGATAAAACTCGAATAAAATAACTGAACAAACATTGAAAATCAACAAATAAACTTCACAAACAAAAAAAAAAAAA